TTTCTCCTATATGTTGGTAGGCCTATACGTATATCTTTCGCCACAACCCTTTCCCTCACAGGTGGTCTCCCCCAGCTGGAGACGTTACAGATAAGCCACAATCGCCTCACCACAGCAGAGGACACGCAACAGCTGGCTGAGTGCAGTTCTCTCTCCTGCCTTGACCTTTCGCACAATAAGATCAATCAAGCGGAGATTGTCCAGGTAATTTGCATACATGGAGAGGCCAGTTATGGGGTGTGTTAGAATGATATAGTTGGGGAAAAAAGATAATTCAAGGACGTTAAAATGGAAGAAGAAAGACTATATACGAGAGAAATTTGTTTGGAGATAAGATAACAGTCTCCTGGAATTCACATGCAGGACTGAAATGAGCGAAAGCATAGATAAAAAAAAATGCCAAGGTGTGATATCCATTAACTCCCCCGCTTCAGGTCCTGGGTGTCATGCCAGAGCTCAGGGTGCTGCAGCTAACAGGTAACCCGGCGACCCGCGAGGTACGACCTTACCGCAACACCCTCATCACGACCTGCTGTAACCTGACCTACTTGGACGACCGCCCTGTCTTCCCAGTGGACAGAGCCGCTGCCGAGGCATGGTAGGTCGCTTCAATGGGCGCTGTCCCTTCGTTTGGTGTTCGAATACAGGCCACCCTTTCGGACACGTTGCTTCCTGCGTTATGGTAAGGTACAGCAAAAATAGCCTTGCCTCACATTAGTATAAAAACCGTTCAGTTTTGGTTTTGAAGATTGACTCATGGATAAACAACAGGCGTATCTGTTTTCAGTGCCGTTGTGGCAGGTAAGACCTCATGAGTTGGTCCTTATGAAAAAAACTTTACTTATCAAATGTAAGTGAAAACCTGAATATCTAATTCAGACAATTCGGCAGCGTTTCTCTTTACCATTTCACGATATTTCCAAAAGAATGTTAGTTCCATCTTTAAATTCTTAGTGACGGATAACAGAAATATTTCAGTAAGCAATATGTGTGATAGTCTTACATCGTATTTGATGGTATAAGATGATATTCTATGATTTTCCTCCACGCATAACACTGATTTTACACTCTAAACCTCAAAAACGTTTACATTGCTCTCATTTTCTCCCTCTAACCTCCCTCTCCCCCAAACCCCCTGTAAACCCTCACTCCCCCTAATCCCCCTTTTTTCCCCTCGGACCTGGCTAACCCACCCAGAACTCCCCTCTCTTCCTAACCTCTCACTCCCCTTTCCAGGCTTGAAGGGGGAGTGGAGGCTGAGAGAGCCATGAGAAGGGAGTGGGCAGAGCGAGAACACCAACGTCAAAGAGACTGTGTTAATGGTGAGATCCTCTTTGTTAATGTGGAAAGAGTATATGTATTACTAAAGAATTAAAGTGCAATCATGAATTCCGGAATAGAGGAAACAATGCAATTCACGGTTATCATTCTTTTCTTAGCTGTTATTAGGCTTCGGGAGAGGGTGTTGGCCCAGAAAGCTGCGAAGGCCGAGGGGTCGTCGACGGGGCCCGAGGACATGGGCATCCACGTAGAGGACAACGGAGAGGAGAAGATCTACGCCCTCACGCCCCAGGCCAAGGAATGGGCGAAGAAGAAGATTAATGAAATGAAAGAGTTAGTGGAGATCCAAAAGGAAGAAAAGGGCAAGCCAACGAAGAATGAAAATGAGGAAAACAAAGGCGAAGCAGAGGACACGGCGCAAATCAAGGATAGAGAAGAGAGAGACGAAACTATCCCCGATGACGAAGGATTTCTAAAACTTCTCGAGAATCTGAAAGAAGATCCAGGCAACCTGAATGGCGAATTGTCTATTGATCCCGAGGAATTCAGCGCCGTCGATTCCACTGAACCTGAAATTCAAGAATCAGTCGAACACAAAGACAGCGATAAATCTCCGCGTCCTGACGACACAGCGCTACGTGAAGACAAGCCAAGCGAACCTGAAGACGGCGAAGGAAACGAAGACGCGACTCAAGCTAAAGCCTCGGGAAAATGCCTCGAGGGCGAAAAAATAACAAATGTCGAAATATCTACAACTTATGAACAGCAGCCAACGGAAATGGATGTAAATCAGGAACTTGATTCTGAAGTGAAAGCGACAGGGCTGGAAATTGTGCAAGATCGATCCTTGCAAATAAGCTGTTCTGACCTTGCATTGGCGGATGACGAGTGTTCCCAGTGTTCGTCCACCTGTCGCCACCAGGATGAGGATGACCGACTCTTGTACGCGAGTTGCCATAACTTCCTCAGACTCCACGACACCACCACGATGGAAGAACAAACAGAAGGTGAGTCTCGCCCCATGACCACCGAAGAACTGCTAGGAGACATCTGGCTCGTCACCGAGACTGTAGCCCAACGCAGCCCATCTCCTTCTCCGTTAGACGACGATCAAGAATCAGACTCTGATGGCCAGGGATATCTCCGTCAGCTCGTCTACGATCAGAATCAGCCACACGAGACGGAATCTGATATAGAAGAACTGCTGGAAAACATGGAC